GTCACAGCTAGCATTAATTCAATCACTCTTCTTCACCCCTCGAAGATTAAACCGAAACTGCAGAAGAAATAATCAAAACCAAAGCTTACGTACAGTCGTACACACAAACTCATCTAACACTACTACGTATCCTTTATGCAGCTATATACCAAATTTCTAATATAATTGGGTGAAAAATAATACAGATTTAAGGCCTGGTATTGGGGTAAAGTGTTTGTAGAAATGAGATTTCTTTCTGCTCTTAAATTCCGGCAACTTGAACGGAGATGAAGATATGAAGAAACTTAATATAGGTTTGATGAGTTTCTGAGGTTTCTTGCTGCTTCTTGTTCACGCAGAAATCAAATAGCGAGCGTCATTCAACAATAAGGTTAGTCTTTGATGGCATGAAAGAAAATAAAAGAAAGTCTTTTTCAATTTACTGTGAAAATTATATCAAGAATTTATAAAAATGTTGAAAATGAACTGATAAATATATAACAAAGATTGGTATTACATTTTATGTACAGTGAGGTGCGTTTGGTACTAATAATGTTATATTATCTGCACGATTATATCTCCGTGGTTAAAATATGATTGTTTTTTTTAGAGGAATGATTAAGCGTTTAAGAATATATACAACAAATTTTAATTTGTAATTCTTTTTTTAAACTGCTAATTTTATTAAAAATAGAAAATATCAAATTACAACGAAGGTTTACAACCACAATCGTAACCTATAAATAATAAAGATATTTTTCTAAACACGAGAAAACCAGTCACTTAATATCACAAGAACCATACGAGGAAAATGTTAAAAAACTTAACCAAATAAACTCTGATCAAATGTAAATACGAATAGATCTGGCTGCATCAACCAACGAACCACAGAAGATGATGAATCTATTGAAAGGCCACCGACAAATATCAAATCAAAATTGAACGACGTGAAAATATTATCTATGAACGTAAATCGTGTATCCAAATCAAATCCGATTGTTCAACCAAAGTAAGAAATATCAACATGATAACAAATAAAACGTCATCTCAGTCATGACATGACGAATCCAAACTCCAACCATGAAAAAATGTCATAAAAGTAGAAGAAGACGTGTTATAGATACATAATTATTAAAAATAAAAACAAAGAAAAAAATAAAAATATGCTATAATAAGAAAAACAATGATCGTATTCAAAATAAAATATGAAACATGAAAGATTATTTTTTTAATTTGTTTGAAATATTTTAAGATCTCTTTCTTTCACTGAAAACATTTTTCAAAAAATGTTTTCAGTAAAATGAATTATATTTTCTGAAAAATATTTTCTGAAAAACGTTTTATAGTATTTGGAAGAGAGTGTGTAAACCATTTTCCACTAGTTGATGAATTTTTTAAAAATTATTTATTACAAATATTAAATACAATAAATAATATTATTTATCATAAAATTAATATTATTATTTTTAAAATATTAAAATAATTTATTTATTTATTATTAAAAATATTATTTCTATATTTTTTAGTTAAAATATTAATATTAGTACATTTTATTGAAAAAATATTAATTAATATATTTTAAATATTTATTAAAATTTTATTATATTAATATTAATAACATAAATAATATTATTCATTATTAATAATTTAATAATATACCAACGAGATTGATTTAAGTAGTAAGCATGTTGATATCGTTTAAACAATGTTTCAGGTTCGAGTCCTTGTGTATGTAGAAAAACCCCGTTGGGAGACTTATCCACCAAAATTAGGTGTGCGACCCGGATCGGTCTAGATAAGTTAGGGCTAAGCATTGGAATTGGAGGGCAACAAAAAAATAATTTAATAATATTATTTCTATGAAATTAATAAATAATATAATTTTTTTAATAATTTATTATATAATATTAAAAATAAAAATATGATATATTATATTATTATAATATAATTGATTATTTTATTATAATATTGAAAATATAATCAATTTAACTTATTATAATGTAATAGTTGTTTATAATTTTTTAATCTATTCACAATGCGTTTATTAAAATTTGGAACCTCTAAAAAAAATATTCTCTTTTACTATTAATACGATTTAATAAATTTAGATAATAATAACTGAGAGTTATCTTTAAACATATATTACCTTGTACTTACTACAAATTAATAAAAAAATTAATTTAGATAATATTTAATATATTAATCTTATTAATAATATGTTAAAAGTACTATAATATAGGTAAATCCCTATGAAACTAGAACTTTTATATTAATATCTTTAATATTAAAAGTTAATTTTTTAAAATATATATTATAAGAATAATTTAATAAAATATATTTTGAATAATTTAATAAAATTTATATTAATATCTTTTATAAGATTGGATCTCCGCCACAACTTAGGTTGAGATGTAAAGGATTTGTTTGTTTTGTTGTTTTATTTGGCATATGGACACAATTTCTATTTTGTAATTTCCATTTTATTGTATTTTTTTAAAAATGTGTGGATGGCATTTTTCCCTATAAAATAATTTTTATAATAATTTTTTTATTTATTTGAAAATGAAAATTGATGTGACAGTGGAAATGGATTATATATATTTATTGTGATTATATTTATCTGTTTGTACAGTGATGAGGAAACGGAAAAGAAAGTGATGGGTGCAATAAATGGAAAAACCTTTTGGATAAATTTATTCAAATATTAATAGGTCTAAACCGAAGTATATTAGAAATTATTAAAAATTATGATTGGTCAAAGAAAATATTAAATAAATATTATTTTATAATCATTATAAATTATTTAAAAGAAAAAAAAAGAATATTATTCTATCTAGAGGATTTAACCGAACAATTAGCACGAACCGAGCGACTCTAGGTCATAGGTTTGAGCATCAAGAGTGTCGGGACGTGAGTATTCAATGTCAAATGATTGAAACTTGAGAGCTATCTTTGAACATATATTATCTTATACTTATTCTAGATAAATAAAAAATAAATTCGAATAATTTCGTTAATATAATATATACGCCGTCGATAAATTAAAAAAATATTCTGAGTGCCTAACAAATTTTTCCAATAAAAATAACATTTGGTACTTAAAATTAATAGTTTTTTTTTCAATTCAGTTCCTGCCTTTTTCTTAAATCATAATTATCACAAATTTTATTTTATCTTTTAATATCATGGATCGGTAAAATTAATAAAATGATTAAAAATAAAAGATATTAAATTTAATAAATAATATGAATAAAAATTAAAATATCAATTTAAAAATTATAAAATTAAAAGATGAGGTAATTGCATCATACATCCTCAAACTATGGTTCATGTTATAAATTGATCCATAAACTTATAAATGTTCCAATTTCATCCTTAAACTATGACTATCATTCTAAATTAGTCCTCAAACGTTTGAACATTTTAGCTTCATCCCCAAACTATATCCTTCATTCTAAATTGGTCCCCCAAACATTTTCAATAGTCCAATTTCATCCGAAAGTATATGCATATACTAATCGCATTCCATATTAATAAAATCATTAGGTCAAATTATATTATTATATGTTTGAAAAAAATAAAGTTTAGGTTAAATTATGGTTAACTTTAATTACATATTCGGATGAATTTGATGATGAAATTGGAAGGTTTAAGCATTTAGGGACTCATTTAGAATAAGGGTCATAGTTTAAGAATAAAATTGGAATGTTCAAAAGTTTAAGGACTAATTTAGAATGGGTATCATAGTTTAAGGATGAAATTAGAATATTCAAAGTTTATAGACCAATTTAGAATTAAAGTCATAGTTTGGGGGCATACAATACAATTAACTCTTAAAAGATTACATGATATTTTATCTGAGAGTACCCAACCAATTGAAGGGTGGTGATGAAGGGGCTCATTATGAGATTTGAGGTCCCTATCTTCCTGAATTGGTCGGTCTTGTCCTTTACTCCTTTCCTTTAACGCTAGTTCCATCCCTATCCCCCTGTCTTGTTCTTGCATTCTTTTTGCCCATCAATTTGAAGACTTCGTCCTGATTAATCTGGATCGACTCGGGTCGTACGTCTAATTTTACTGAGTGAATCTCTCAACAGAGATTTTCTGCCTATATAAAGGACTCGAATCTAAGATCTTACTTAAACGATATCAAGTTGCTTACTACTTGAACTAACCCTCGTTATTCTTGTTCTTGCATTTAACATACATGCAATATATCAAAATTATTTGAATTTGCCACCAAGACTTAGTAGCACCATAATTGTATAAACACATCAAAGAGAAGATGCAGACATGAAATGACACATCCAATAAAAGGAATTTTTGAAAGTTCTCTTCTTCTTTTTCGATTGGCATTCTTCTATATCTTATAAACTTACCAAATTATTATAAATAATTTCTATATGTTATAAAATAATAATAAATTTAAGGGTAAACAACACATTTAATACCTAAACTATCAAATTTTGTTGTGTTTTAGTGTCTAAAATTTTTAATTTTTCAAAATCATACCGAAATTTCAGTTATTATTTCATTTCAATACCCACCGTTAAAAGTTTAACGCGTTTAGTACCTAAACTATCAGTTTTGGTCCGTTTTAGTACCTAAATTTTTGTTTTTTTTCAAAACTTAACGTTAAGTTTCGAACAAGAGTACCAAAATGAAGCAAAAACTATTTTTTAATAGCGAGATGCTAAAATGAAACAAAAACTAAACGTTATGTATGATTTTGAAAAATTAAAAGTTTAGGTACTAAAATAAACAAAAACTAATAGTTTTATGTACTAAATGCGTAGTTTACCCTATTTTAATTATTATTTTATAACTGTTTGATAAATTTAATCTATCTTTGAGTATTTATATTTTAATTGCATATAAAAGATTTTTTTTGGGGGGGGGGTTCTCTCCACTCACATAATATCCAAAACAATTTTTATTTTTTAAATTCGAACTTAACGAAGAGTACATTATATGGAGATATTAAAATAGCTTCAACCAAATCAAAGATCAGCTTCGATTATTAAAAAAATACACACGTATATATAATCGTAGACGCTTGGAGCATTTTCACGAGACTGCTGCAATTGTAGTGACACTGGGTAGTTTATGTAAGATGATCGGAGCACCGTATCGAGGTTGAAGTGTTACAGCAGAATATGGGGCGTGCGTATAATTTGGCGACAGTTCAAACGAGAAGTTGTGCAGGATTTTGGCCATGGCCATTTTGGATTCAAGCATGGCGAAGTTCTGTCCAACGCACACTCTAGGCCCCCATCCGAAAGGATAGTACGACAATTTATCTTTTGTCGTCTCGAACTTCCCATCGGAGAACCTCTCCGGCTTGAACTCCATTGCGTCGTCTCCCCATTGCTCTTTATCTCTATGGACAAGGTGCAGTCGCATGAACAGCTGCACCCCTGCAGGAAGACACATATCACCGAGCTTCGTCTCTTTGTTCGTGGATCGGATCAGCGATGTCGAGGGATACAGTCTCAGGACTTCGAGCAGGATCATGTTTACGATCTTCAGTCGGTTCAGATCGTCGTGATTTGGCGGGGCGTTATCGTTCCTGAACACTCTAAACACTTCTTCCCTGGCTCGGTCCTGCCATTCCTGGTGCATGCTCAACACGATCATGGTCCATGTCAATAAATTGGCTGTTGTTTCTTGACCGGCGAAGTAGAACAACTTGCACTCCTCGATCACATCTTGCAGGCTCATCCCTGCTTCCGAATTGTTGTCTTCCTGCACTTGTTCGAGGTTAGATTTTAGTAGCAAGCCCAGCAGATCGTCCTTGTGCTCTCCTGCTCTTATGAACTTCTCTCTCTTTTTTATTATTCTTGTCAATAAGGATCCCACTTCTCTGTTTACGTGCTTCATCCTCTTGTTCACTTTGGTTGGAAGGTAGCTTAACAATGGGAAATTGATGTTCATCTGAGACTGTAAAAACAGCAGGCCTTGTTCCTTCTGCAGAAGGAAAACCAACCTCCCTTCTTCGAAATTGCTGCCGAACGCGGCTCTCGATATGACATCGCCTGTTAAGTTTTGGAACTCGACCGACATGTCGACTTCGCTAGACCCCATGAAGTTCACTAGCTTTCTCCACTTTGAAATCATCTCGTCGGTGCAAACATCGATTGCAGGCATCATATGCTGTAACAACAAGAGCCCAAAGGGTAAAGATATGTCTCCAAACATGAAAATCATCAAAGAAAAGCAAGCATTTATAATGATAACCTTCATCTTCTCTAAATGGAAAGCATGATCAACGATCTTCCTGTGCTTGGACCATTTATCTCCGTTATAAGTGGCAAGGCCAGACACGAACAGCTGAGTGAATGAATTTGTTTTTGGCTTTGGGAAATCCCCAGATTTGTTGTTCAGAATCTCTTTGATCAAATTTGGCTCCATGATTGCCACGCGTGGAGTTGTTCCGTACCAAACAACGAACGATTTCTCTGCATGCATGGTTTTCACATTTTCTTGTCATTTGCTTATATATATATATATATATATATATAAGAAAAAAAGTTAATTTCCCTAGGTTGATTAAACCTAGAATATCAATATGATACTGCTCTCTCTCTCTCTCTCTCTCTCTCTCTCTCTCTCTCTCTCTCTATATATATATATATATATATATATATATATATATATATATATATACATAATTTTCTAAAGTAAACAAACAATCGTAAATTTCTAGGGTGTGCTGGTTTCGATTGCAATGATCATTGATCCATATGATTTCTATTTTTTTTCATTAACATGAAAAAGAAAAAGGACAGAAACTAAATGAAATCAATTAACGACATGACATACTGTGAGTAGTGGCGAGATCATGAAGCAATGGATTGATACGAGGTAAGATGTCGTGGGGCAGCTCCGTCGGTTCCGACCCTTTTTCCCGAGCTAACTCCATCATCTCCTTGGTGTTCCCATAAACCAGCTTGTAGGGGTAGCCATGGATGCCCTGTTCCCTCAGCTTCTTCTCTATCATCTTGGGCTTCCACCAGACGGCATGAAACAGTTTGAGAGCCCAGGCGGCTGTCAGAGCACAGAGCACCGTCGTCAGAACCGCCATCTCCGACTACAATACCAAGGATGTTTTTTACGAAGCTTAGTTTTGAAACTTGGGGAAGATAGGGAGGAGCTCACGAGTCTTTATATGGAGGATTTGAAAAGGTTTTTCGTTGGTGGATTCTTAAATTTGTTTTCTTGTATACTGCCGCTTTCTTACGTTCATCATTTTACAATAGCAAGAACATCCCTTTGTCTTATCGATTGATTAAATAATTGCACTAAACTTCCCCATTTGTACTCAAATTCGTCGTTATTTGTCTTAGTTAATAATTTTAAGATTTGTAAATATAACTTCTATAATAAAAAGATTTGTCGATATAAATATATATTATGTAATTGAGGTACGTTTTATTATAATATATATATATATATATATATATAATATAAATTTGAATCTATAAAATAAATTGATATGGGAACATCGTCGTCTCCTCTATAGTACTTGTCTGAATTTATTGATTAATAAATCAGATATCAATGATTATAACAAAAATATTGATGTATTTAAGTAACAAAGAAAAATGGAATATCTGACCATATGATATATTGTTCTTATTTTTTATTTGGTTTATCTGGATTTTATCGTTACAAATGTAACAAACGATATAAGTTTATGTGGTTAATGGATTTATGGGTACTCTTTTTCCCTTATATGACCGCAACATTATGTTAGTAGAAGAAGTTTTCAACGAGGTCCATTTTTCTCAAAAAGAAAACCGTATGATATTAATTATTTTAATTTTAATTTTAATTTTAAGTTTTTTAATTTGATTAATTTAAAAGTTAATTTAATTCAATTCGCATAATGGGCGAGGAAAAGACTAACATTCAAAGGGGATACTGGACTTGATTCTTTTACATCTTCTGCATTGGGCTAGTTTTTTTTTTTACCATCGGCCTTTGAGGCTAAACGAAGCTCTAATCGACTTCCTCATAAGAGCATGTCCTATGTGCGGCCAACACACTCACCTGCAGTTAGGGGTGTGCAAAAAAATTCGATCCGATTGATCTGATCCGTTGATTCGATGATTCGATCCAAAAATTATGATATCCGATCCGTTTTTTAATTTTCGGATAGTTCAGATCGGGTATCCGAAATTTTTTCCGGATTATCAGATCGGTAAAAAACTATTTTTGGATTATCCGAAAACCCGAAAAAAATAAGGGCTATTTTCTTCAAGTTTATATCCATTCCTCTCTGTAATTACTTCATCACTTGTTTGATAGATGGAAAAGTAAGGATCTGGGATCCGGCTACTGATGTCCCACTTCAAACATACAACTTGAAACTAAATAAGGAATGGAGGGATGAAGTTTCAGATTTTCATCAGTAAGCTCATTGCAATCTCTCTCAGGTTCCTGCACCTTCAGTTTTAGATCTTTAACTTCTTTGATTAGATGAGAATCTCAAGTTCCTGCACCTTCAGTTTTAGATCTTTAACTTCCTTTTTCAGACCCCTACTTGAAGTATAGGTCGGTCACTCCTACCGTGATTAGCGATTGGCGCGGAATTCGAACTCAACGAGTTTTAATCTGATCCGATTCAAGTGGGTCAGTTTTTTTTATTGAAAAATCAAGCTCGAATCGGATTGAATTGAGTTTTTTTAGAAAATATGTTTGGGTATGGTCGAGTTTAGGTTTAGAATAAAAACACTAGACTCGACTTGACCCAAAAAAATTATATAAATCTACCTTATATATTTAGAAATAATTATAATAATAATTCTCTATATATTTTTATTGAATAAAAATAATATTTTTTATAAATATATTTATTTTGAGTCGAATCTAACAGGATTCATATTTTATCTCAAATTTTTGGGTTGAGTGCAGGTCAAATGTAATCATCCATCCATCCCTAAACTCGAGTCGGATGAATGTTATATATTTTTAAATCAAGTCGAATTGACAGAAAATTTGACCTAAATCATGTCCATCCCTAACCGTGATAACTCATGGCTGGAGCTTATTATTATTTAAACTCGCTTTTGTTGTGTTATTTTAATATTTTAAATTATATTTACATATTACAACCCAAAACGATAAAAATCATTTTGTTGAATAATTTGTCGAAGAAATTTGATATACACAGTAGGTTAATCTTATTAATATTTAAAATATTAAATTAATAACCAACAAGATTGGTTCAAGTGGTAAGCATCTTGATATCGCTTAAGCAAGATCTCAAGTTTGAGTTCTTGTGTATGTATAAAATTCATATTAAGAGACTTATCCACCAAAACCAGATGTGCAACTCGAGTCGGTCTAAATTAGTCAAGATAAAACTTTAAAACTGGAGGGTAACAAAAAAAATTAATTCAATGGTTAATACCGATCATTTTATTATTGGGATGTATTAGAGAATTGTAATTCTAAAATTATATTCACATCCTTTAAATTGCCTGGTTAATACTAATGTCAATTAATTAAAATTTATTTGATATTTTATTATTTAATATTATGACGTCAAAAATACTAAGCCCACTAGATTGGGAGATAAAGTTTTTTTTCTTTTGAAAAAATTAAACAAATTTGAAGTGGGGATTGTTGGTAGAATTGGGCAAATATTATGACGACAAATGCTACAGTGTTCATAGAACTCGTCATGCAGGCATGACGAGTTTCATGGGATATATTTTTTTAATGGTCTGTGTCACGTGGGTCCCACAAACCTGATGAGTCCCAATAAAAAATATTTTTTTGAAAATTTTAAAAACATTGTTTAAAAATATATATTATTTTAATGGTGAAGGAACTCATCATGCCGGTGTGACGAGTTCCAACAGTTAAAAATTTGAAAGTTTAGATTGTTGGATTGACTATTGTTGAACGATCAAATTTTTTTAAAAAAATCAATGGAACTCGTACATAACACACTCATTTCATCTCTTACACAACACACTCCTTTCATCTTCAATCTCTTACACAACAAACTCCTTTCTTCTAACCAAATACATTTCAAACAATGAGCAACAAATTCTTCACAGTTGTCTATTATATGGCGAAATTCTACAAACTGATGTTGGTGTTGTGTTTAAGTAACACAATCCCATCAATATGATGTTTCCTGTAGATGTATCTCATCGCCAAATGAAGCAAAAAATTGAGAGAAAACTTGAGGCTTTTGTTTCATGTTTAGGTTATCGGCACTTGATCTCCTCAAATCCAATGACATATGGAAAAGTCTAGCTTGATGATGATGACGATGTTGCTGTTATGGTTGGACTTAATCAATCATCAAATAATAATATGTTGGAGATGTACGTCGAAACCATGAATACAACTAATGTTTCGACCTCATCTGTACCATCTCGAAGAACAAAATAAGCAGGCCCCTCTGAACCACATACAAGTGATGGTGATGATAACCTTGTTGGACGGTTCGGAGAAAGTCTTGCTGAATTTAGCGAAGATGATGAAGATATTGTTCCTTTGGTAGACGATGACGACACACCATTAGCTGATGAGTCCGATGTTTTTGAGGCTGCTTCAGAGGTACAAGGTGTGGATGTTGAAGCTGATGTATGGGAGGTGTAGCATCCTCAATATCAGGCTAGTGACCTAAAGGTGAATTTTGAAAGCGTTGTGTTCAATTTCGAAATAAGTTAAAAGTTCAGAATTTTAATTGGAGAATTTTGAGGTTGGATTTAATAGTAAAGTTTGAAAGTAATAAGGGTATTATGGTCTTTTCTAAGAGAAGATTTTATTTCTCTTTTAGGGGATATAAAAACGTGGGAAATGAGGGAAATGAGTTTCCAGAGTTTTCTTCTTCACGTGTGGAAGCCAAGAGCAAAGGTGAGAATTTTTATTAGTTGATTATTATTTGAATTCTAAGTTTGTTTTGATTCTTTGGAAAGTAAGAAAGCTTAAAGAAGTCTAAAGATAAGTGAAAACTCAAAGATGAAGAGGTTAGAAGAGATTAAAGAAAATGGGTTTTTAAGTGAAATTTTGAATAAGAAGGTTTAAATGAATTTGGAGGATGAATTTGACTTGTTATCTATAAGAATAAGAAGTTAGAAGTGTTAGAATTAAGTTTGGATAACATGGAAAATTGGGTATGATTATTGATTTCCATATGAAAGATGGAATTTAGAGGTTATGTGTAATGAGAGCTAGGGGTATAGTTGGCATGCCAAGAGTCGAGGGTCTATGTGGTCCTTCGGGACATATATGTATTCTTTGGAACATGTGTGAAGTCTGGTGAGACGCATACTTGATCCTTGGCATATGTATATGATTCTTAAGGAATGATATGTGGTCCTTCGGGACATATATGTATTCTTTGGAACATGTGTGAAGTCTGGTGAGACACATACTTGATCTCTAGTATATGTATATGATTCTTAAAGAATGATATGTGGTCCTTATGGACATTATTATATGGCACTACGGTGCAATTCTACGCGGCACTCCGGTGCAATTATACGTGGCACTTCGGTGCAATTATATGAGCTGTGGTGACAGCATTAGTGCACAACCTCTATGTACTCGCATATCTTTAGTTCTCACATGTGTATCATGGGCTATTGAATAGATAATATTAATAAAGTGATATGATAATATGTTTGTTTCCTTGTAGAATTTCATGTGTGATATTGATTGTACAAATGGTAACTTATAAGACCATATGATGAAAGGAATCAATGATAATGATAAAATAAGAAAGAAATGAAGATGATAATATAGTTGCTTGGGTGTACGTGTTTTATGATAGTATATATATATATGGTTTACATGACATGATATGTATATGTGCAATTGGTTATGGTATATGTTATATGATATGGACATAAGAGATCATAGGAACATGAGATAAGAGATATGAATGATAATGACATATATGTATGCATATATTCGTTACATGTAAAAGTATGAGTGATATGAAATGATAGTAGTAATTGTTTAGGTATGATTATTAGTTACCGTTTACCTTATATTTATATGCCTCACTAAGTCTTTGACTTAGCGTGTAAGTGATTTACACGTAGGTTTCGAGAAGAGTAAAGAGCAATGTGGAGCAAGACAGGTCAGTTCTCCTTACTAAAGGTCAGATCAGAAAAGAGGTGAATAATATGTATTTTAGTATATAAA